AGAGCGCGAGCGCGAACTGTGGAGCTTTGAAGAAGCGGGAGCGCTTCGGAGTCGCGGGGGAGCGGGAACATAAGCTCCTGACCTGAACAATGTTCATTATCCATTTATACCGCATTTTTATTCACTACGCTTTATTTTACATGTTTGGTGGTGGGCTACTTAAATTTTGAAAAACACTACAATAATTACGAATATTACAGGTTCACTTCTTTACCTCTGTTATTCCTTTTGACCCTAACATCGGCACACGTCACGGACTACTCGCAGGCCAAGTACATTCCCATCATTGATGGTCGAATTTTAGTATGGGAGGAATTTGCATTCGTTAGACATTCAGCAAACCTCTCAGAATATAGGCGCGTGGTGGAAGAGACTGGTGGCATGCTTAACATGTTTCCCCTGTCGCACATGCAGAAACTTTTGAGCGTAGATGTCGCTCACCTGCGTGACCTGCTCAATTCATTGAGCATCCATCATAGGGTAGCTAGAAGTTTAGACTTCTTGGGGACGGCACTAAAGGTAGTGGCGGGAACGCCAGACGCGGAGGATTTTGAGAAAATTAAACTTACCGAATTTCAACTCATAAACGCAAACAATAGACAGGTTAATATTAACAACAAAATACAAGAACAAATCAATAGTATCACCGCCACTGTTAATCAAATTCTGAGGTCGGCTAAAGACTCCCAAATTGACTCGGGACACCTGTATGAGATGTTATTGTCCCGCAACAGAATGATTGCAATGGAGCTGCAGAATTTATTGCTGGCAGTGGCTCTTGCCAAAGTCAATGTCGTTAGCCCTTGCATTCTAGATCATGCAGACCTGGAAAATGTGTGGATTGAGGAGCCCACCGATACCCCTATTAAAGACATTTTATCCGTTGCGTCCGTCAAAATATTACAGTCCATCAACATTTTGCACTTCATTATTAAATTCCCTAAAGTCAAATCAGCTTGTGTTAGAATCACCGTTTTCCCCGTGTCACATCATGACACAATGCTTAGATTGGAGGACCAGGTCATTTGCGGATTGCAGCGGAGAAATTCACACAGTCCAGAATTGCTCTATAACAACGGGAGCCCCTTTCTGCCGTCTGGCGCAAAGAAGATCATGCGCCCAAGAACTCCACGCTGAACGGGTTGCACACTGCGACATTCAACCCAGCGACTTGCATCCGGTCACCTTCGTGGACGAAGGTATCATCATTATCAACGATCGCCCGGCTCATGTGTGCGTGGACAATGGCACTTGCGTTCACCTGCGAGGAACTCACCCTGTCACCTTCGCCGAATGTGCCACGGTTAACGAAACCCGGTACGCCAACTATGGCGGGGCCCAAAAGAGGGTCCCAGGAGTGGCTAGCGCGCCCTCCCTCAATATCACCCTAGAACATGATATACTTAGTCTCCCTTACCTTCACCGCTTGAGTGAGCGTAACCTGGAGCATATTAAGAGATTCGGAGAGAATATCAACGACTATCGTTCACATCAGATAGTGCTAGTGGCAGGAGCCATATGCTGCGCGTTGATCTGCGTCGGCTTAACCTATCGGCGAGTCATCCAGGCCAGGAGATCTACGGCCCAGATAACAGAGATGATTGCCCAAATAGGGTCGGCCGAGGGCGACCTTGTTCCTGAGGGGGAGTAGTTAACTAACTCATCCGGGCAACGGCAATGACCGTCCGCCCGAAAGCTCGCTCCGGCCAAACTGCTGACACAGCGTCTGGCCGGAAGCTCATGCATAGCCGGCAAGCACTACCCATTGGAGTGGCCGCTATGATATTCACTTTTGTTAGCTTTTTAAGTTCAGTTCATATTTGGCATTCAATAAATCCAGAGCACAAGCTCTTATAAATGAATCTCCGACACTTTGTCGTTAACTCTTTTAATTACTATCATACTGACTGAGTCCCTAGGCCAGCGGTATTGAAGGGAAGTCAACCTTCCATCGTAAACATCCTATCTCAGCATTGGATTAACCAGGCCAACCGGCCGCACACGGAGATACCGACATCGTCCTATCTCGGCATTGGATTAAGCAGGCCAACCGGCCGCACTCGGAGATACCGACATCAGCCATCCGGCTAATACTTACTGGAGACAGCGGCCGAGGGAGTTCACATTATTACTCCCATCCCCCCATTTCCATTAATTTATATTGTGACGATGTCACAACACCCTATTTTTGTAAATTATGTACATATTAGTTAAGTTTATAGTTAAGTTAGTAATTAGTATAGGGAAATAAGTTAGGATTAGCCACACACCCACGCCCACACACTCACACACACAACTGTACATTTAAGCGGGCATGAAGCCCAAAGTTAATTTGCCCAGGAAGGGCCAAATTAGATTTAGATTAAAACCACAACGCACAGGCGTATACATTTTGCCAACACGGACTGTAGCGACCGCGCTGAAGACATTTCCCCTCTCCGCTGCCGACGCGAACAGCGGCAGAGGCAGCGACATTTCCCCTTCGACGATCGTGCGTGTTTACGTTTTGGTCGTGCTTATTTACATGCCGATCAAAACATAAACAATAACAATAACAAAGCCGACGGCCGAAAGCTGCGCTGCCCGGACATTTTCGGCAGAGACGAGGCGACAAGGGCTTTGCAAGCTGCGACCGCGATCACTTCTCCGACAACTGCGAACGTGAACGATTGAACTTAGTCCCCGCGACTCGAAATTACCCAAACCGACGGCTAAGTCCAAAAGGACCCGCGTGTGTTAACTTACATCCTGGCTGCCGGGCACGTGTCCCAGCCGACTGATAACATCAGGTGAGCCGGCCGAGCGCCATGTGAGGGCAGATCCTTGGAGTGTGGCGTAGGGCCAGGCAGGGCATTGTAGCCGTAGCCAAAGTTAGAAATAATTGTACCAAATAGTTAAGCAATAAAGAATGAAGATCAAAGTCATATCTCTTTTTCTTTCTCTCTCACACCGAACTCCGCGTAGTAACCGTCAACCCTTATTCTGACGCGTGCCAAAGTGTTCCCCTCCCGCTCACTCACTCGCCGAGCTGGTGGCTGGGTTATCCCGCACCAACTCCGCGTGGTCGCTGGGCAAGCTCCGGGCCGGAGAAGCGGGACGGGAGCGGGATTTGTCGCCGCTGGGTTCTCCCGGGCGCAGATCTGGCGTGGGCATCGGGGCTGCTGGGTTTTCCCGAGCTACGAGTTCATCGCCGCCGGCACGTGCTCACAGATTTCCCCCTCTCCCCTCTCCTTTTCCCTTTCGATCTGCATTTTTGCCCGCCATCGCCGCTGGGTCATCCCGGGCGGCGGAGATTTGCCGATCGAAAGAGTCGCCGCTGCTGGGCAACCGAGCGGGCGCAGGAAAACGGAGGAGCACCTGGCCATCGCCAGGGTGACCGTCCAAGATTCCCATTTTCCCGAAGCCAGAGTTCCCCTTTTGAAAACGAGCCCCTTTTTCGCTGCCATTTCGCCCCTAGAAAACTCATTAAAATTCGGCGTCCATGTGCTGGCCGTCTCTAAAAAATATAAATATTTCTGGAGAGGAATCCTGGGCCGCTGAGGTTTACCCCGGCCTAAGACACATCCTTACAGATGGCGCCCGGAGCAGGGACCGGTCAGGACAGCTAGGATAATTTTTTCTCAGTGGATTAAAGCCCCACTGGCCGAAAAACCAGAATTTGCTAGTAGGAAAAAATAAATAATATAAATTTTTCGAGAAGGCAAAGGCAGGGAAATTTAGTTTTCTAAAGGACGAGGATAGAAAATTTAATCAGGAAATATATTATATAAACATATTTTTCGATCAGCGCACATTCGTTTTTGCGAGTGTAAGAAATTTTCGTCCCACGTGTCGCGACGTACGGTCGCCGGCAAAAATCTGCAAAAGTACAGGAGGAAAGGGAATAGAAAAAAACGCGTGGTAAATTTCCATTGGTGCATACGCATCGTCGCCAAAACAAGCGGTACAGTTACGCCAGATTTCGTAGTCAACGTCACTGCCAGCGTCAACGCCGGCAGAGGGACGCTTCGCGCAAGCACACACACACGTGGCCCACACACATCTCCAGTTCTGCTCTGCCCGCGGCAGCAGCGTCGGCTAGTTTAAGCATCAATATATACAGGGGACCCTCGCTAGGAGGGACACACTTCGGAAGATAAGCTCATAGAATACGCATCGCAGAACCACCTCGTTGAACACACATCGCTCGCAGTTTACACCCTTTGAAATCAACTCATCGCACTCATCGTCGTATCCTTTCACACACCGGGAAGATTTTCAAAATCCTTCAACCACGTTAAGGACACCCGCGAACCCTCAAAGGATCCTGAGAGATCCTGCCGCCGAGAATAAAATTGAAATCATAAAATAATAATAAGGATTCAAATAAATAAATAATCCAAATAATAAATCGAAATAATAAAAATTAAATAAGCCAAAATATAATAAAAATTAAATAAACTCAAATATAACAATAATTAAATAAATCCAGACAGAATAATAAACCAATAATAAAATAAATCCAGGAATAATTTTATTTGAATAAAATAAAATAAACGGATAAATAATAATCGCAGACATAAATACTTAAAATCGAATAAAAACTAATCGAAGGATAAATACTAAAAGAATAAATAATAATCGATCGCCGAAAATACTGGAAACGAATAAACGAATAAAAATACCGAATAATAAATCAAAAACGAATAAATAAACTATCGATAAATCAAAATAATAAAATACGAATAAATAAGGATAAATAAATATTAAAGAATAAACAATAAGATTGAAATAAATATAATAAAACACCAATAAGATATAATAAAGTAAAATTCTCTGTGATCCTGCGAGATCCGAACCAAGGGTATACGTGCACACAGTACGGATCCTGCGAGATCCATTTCCGCAAACTCGCGTCCAGCAATATAAAATCCAGTCGTTGCCACGGTATCCCGCCGTTTCCACTCTCTCGAGACCCGTTGTTATTTCTGATCCTTTTTTCTCCGCGTATCCTGTGAACCATGGGCGTCACTTGGATAAGTTATCGCAAAAAGATGGAGCTGGAAACCATCCTAGGCGAGTTCGAACTCGACCGAAGCGGCACGGTGGACGAGCAACGCGCGCGGCTCATAGCATTTGCGCGGCAGCCCAGCAATTCCAAGGAAATCCAGGATCGACTCGACGAACTGGAACGCCGGTTCGGGAACGCACCCACCGGCGACGTCAAGTCACCGATACCGCTAGATCCGTCGCTCATCTCGCCGGAACCGACCACGTCGGCATCGCTGGTGCCACCCTCACTCTTCTTGCCGCGCAGTACGTCACCCGCCACAGGGCGACGCCCGAAGGCGGAGGAGCCTGCGCGATCTGCGCACTCCCGAGTGAAGCCGGCTTGGGAGCAATCCTGATCGACAGGATGACCAAGTGGGGCCTTTCGTTCGATGGAACGACGGATCCTCTTGGATTCATAGAGCACATCGAGGAGCGTGCCGATACCTGCCGGATCGACCGGAGATATCTGGCTCAAGCCCTGGTGGTGCTGCTGGCCGGCCGAGCCGAAAGTTGGTTCCGCACGAGCGGACTCCAGCAAGCCAGCTGGATCGAGGTCCGCCGGGAGTTCCTTGACTTCTTCTTGCCACCGCGATACTATCAGCGGCTGGAGGATGAGATAAGGATGCACTTTCAGAAGCCCAACGAGCCATTTAAGGAATACCTTATCGACATCCGTTTGCAGATGCGCCGGGCCGGATTCTCCTCGGACAAGGAGCTGGAGAGGATCTACGAAAATATGCTGCCGGAGTATCAACTCTATACCCGGAGGCAGGATTTCCGTACGCTGACCGAGCTAACGCACCTCGTGACCAACTACGAGGAGACACGCAGCCGAGGCGGAAGAGCGCTCGAGAACCGGATCCCGACTCAACGCCAGGCCACCGGAGCCAGCTACGCAGCCGAAGGAGACAGGATGCCCACTCGACGACCTCAACAGGCGCCCTCTTCAGGCAACGCCCTCAACGGTTCCCTTAGCCGGAACGCTTGCACCAGCCAGAGCGCAGTGGCACCACGACCAGAAGCCGTCAACGTTCGCAACGCTTGCCGGAACTGTGGCCAATCCGGGCACTTCGAAGCCGAATGCAGGAACCCACGGATCCTATTCTGTTGGGATTGCGGCCAACGAGGACGCAGGACGGTTGACTGTTGCCGACAGCCACCGTCGGGAAACGGGCAAGGGCCTCGTGTGACCGGGAATCACCCGAGGAACCCTCCGTATCCCCGAAGTCAATAGGAGACACTCTCCATCAGTACCAGGGACGCATCCGCGCTACCATCCACATGGAGGGGCAGCGGTTCACAGCTACCCTGGACACCGGAGCCACCCACAGCTTTATTAGCGAAGGGCTGGCTCAAATGCTGGACAACGGAAGGAACACACGGGACATCCGTACCCAGGTAAAACTCGCCGACGGAACATGCCGCGAGCTGACCAGAGCTCTGGCGGCAAATATCTACCTCGGAAGCGAACGGACGCCCACCATTCTCCTCGTGATGTCGGACGCACTGGACGACATACTCCTAGGAATGGATTTCCTCTGTGGAATCGGAGCAACCCTGCTATGCGGCGGGCAGACCCTCCGACTGCGACCGGACGACCAGCGAAGACCCACAACAGAGCCACGCTCTGATCAGCGAAGACCAACAACAGAGCCACGCTCTGACCAGCGGAGACCAATAACAGAGCCACGCTCTGAACAGCGAAGGGAGCCACGCTCCAACCCACGGGACCAGCCCGCAGAGCCACGCTCTGACCAACGAAGAACGACGAGGGAGTCACACTCCAACCACGAAGAGCCACCAATGGCACACCACTCAGAGCCACGCTCTGAGCAACGAAACACATCGACGGAGCCACGCTCCACATCCGAAGAGCCACCAATGGCACACCACGCAGAGTCACACTCTGATCAGCGAAGGACGACAACGGAGTCACACTCCACTCACGCCGAGAAGCCACAGACGACAGCCCAAGGAGAGCCACGCTCTACCCATCGAAGGCAGCCAAGGGAGCCATGCTCCGAACTCGAAGACCAGCCAAGCACCTCACCTCGAGCACAGTTTCGAGACACAGCATCACCAGCGACGGAGAACCAGCCGCCCAGTTGGAGACAGGCTTTGCCCGTGGCAGATGCCACAGCCGCGCAACGGAATCCCTTCCGTACCTCCACAAAACGTGTCCGCTTCCAGGATCACGTCGAGGAAACGCCGGAGCCGAGCCCGCCCCTATGCGGAACCGTCAATTCGGTGAGTCATCCCACAGAGGATCAGGTCTCTTTCCAGACAGAGGAACCCGAGACGCAGGATTACCCCGAGCCTTGGGTGAAGGAGTTTCTGGACCAGGAACTGGCGAAATTTGATACTCTTTCAGGGGTATCGCACATCGCAGAGCATCGCATCTTCATGCGCACCGATCGACCCCTTAAACAGCGTTACTTTCCAAGGAATCCAGCCATGAGGGCCGTCATTGATAAGCAGATCAATGAACTCCTCCGAGACGGACGCATTGAACCTTCCAAAAGCCCGCATAGTGCGCCCATCGTAATCGCGGCTAAGAAGAATGGCGAAGTCCGCATGTGCGTGGACTACCGCCAGCTCAATGAGAACTCCGTGCCAGACGCGTATCCGCTTCCGAGGATCCATCAGATCTTGAGCGACTCCGGAACGCGAAATTCATCTCGACGTTGGACCTCAAAAATGGGTATTGGCAAATCCCAGTGGCTCCGGACAGCCGGGAGGATTGTTTCATTGGAGAGTCATGCCTTTCGGACTTCACTCCGCTCCCGCCACGTTTCAACGCGCCTTGAGACACGGTCATCGGTCCGGATATGGAACCCCATGCGTTTGCATATCTGGATGACATCATTGTCATCGGTTCCACACTGGAGGAGCATGTCGCCAATCTTGGAGAAGTTTTCAGACGCCTCCCGCTGCGCAAACCTGCGCCTCAACATAGGGAAGTGTCACTTCTTCCAGCGCCGCATCGTGTACTTGGGTCACGTGATCAGCGAAGCCGGAATTCACACGGATCCGGACAAGGTCGCTGCGATCCGAGGACTCGCACCGCCGACAAACCTGAAGGAGCTCCGCAGGTGCCTGGGAATCGCTTCCTGGTATCGCCGCTTCGTGCCGCATTCCCACAAGTGGGAATGGACCCAAAGACAAGACCAGGCCTTCCAGGAGCTGAAGACGCTGCTGACCGAAGCCCCTATTCTAGCTTGCCCAGATTTTTGCAGAGAAGTTTGTGCTACAAACTGACGCCAGTGACTACGGAATCGGAGCCGTACTCACGCAGACCATCGATGGAAACGAGAGGGTGATAGCGTACGCCAGCCGCCGGCTCAACACTGCTGAGAGGAACTACTCAGTGACTGAGAAGGAGTGTCTCGCCATCGTCTGGACGATTCGGAAGATGCGGTGTTACATCGAGGGATACCGCTTCGAAGTCCTCACAGACCACCACTCCTTGAAGTGGTTGAACTCCATCGACAATCCAACAGGCAGGATTGCCCGTTGGGCGTTGGAGTTGCAACAATATCAGTATGATGTCCATTACCGGAAGGGGGCCCAGAACTTGGTGGCCGATGCCCTTTCTCGCCAACCGCTGCCCATAGTGCAGCAAGCGGAGGTACAAGGAATCAACTGTAAGTGTATCACGAGGATGCTCCAGAGGATTCGGGCCGAACCAGCAAAGTTTCCAGATTATCGAGAAGAGAATGGCCAGCTATATCGTCGCCTTGGACTCCGACCTGAGGAGGAGGAGTATACGCCCTGGAAGCTGTGCGTAGGGTCAGACTATCGCCAGCGAGTACTCGAAGAGTGCCACGATCACCCCACTGCCGGTCATCTAGGGGTCCGGAAAACCAGCACTCGCGTGGCCCAGCGCTATTACTGGCCTGGATTGTTCCGCGAGGTGGCTCGGTACGTTCGCCGCTGTCCCACTTGTCAGCGATATAAGGTGAGCCAAGAAAAACCCGCAGGTCAAATGTTTACTCGACAGGTCGAGGAGCCGTTCCACATCCTATGCGCAGATTTCGTCGGCCCACTGCCGCGGTCGAAACAGGGCAACAAGATGCTGCTAGTATTTCTGGACGCCTTCAGCAAGTGGGTGGAGCTAGTGCCACTCCGCAAAGCTACCGCCACACATCTGGAACGAGCCTTCAGAGAGCGGATATTGAGCCGATTCGGTGTTCCCCGAACATTTGTCTGCGACAACGGTACGCAGTTCACCGGCCGCTCATTCCAAAAATTCTGCCAGTCCCTCGGGATGGAGCTGCAGCACACGGCGCCCTACACTCCGAGACAGAATCCAACGGAAAGGGGCAAATCGAACGATCAAGACGATGATCGCCCAATACTTGGATGGAGGCCAGCAGAACGAGTGGGATCAACTCCTACCGGAGATATCTTTGGCCATAAAAGTACGAAGGACCCTTCAGGGTAGCGAAGTTCCCATCGCCGAACATCGTGCAACTGCACATGCCAGGAAGCCGACGCCGGCGGACCGCCAGCCTGAATCAGCTGAAGCCGTACCACCACGAGGATGAGGCAGACACCGAAGCCGGAGCCCACCGGGAAGACACCGACGCCGGAGACACCACGATCGAAGATGCCGACGACAGCCAGCGGCCAAGACCGCACGGCGCAGGGGACCCATCCCCGCGCCGCCAACACTAGCGACGAGCACCCATGTAGGGAAGGCGACCATGTTTCACAGGGGCCACTTGTTGGCAGGCGCGCCTGCCCAACGTCCCGAACCCCTAGTGGGGTGAACATGCGTCTCTTTCCAAAAGCCGTAGTCGTAGCCAACCCTAGCCCACTCCATTAGGTAGGGCCCAGGGAAAAACACTAATACACATCTCCTCTGTCCTTACAGCAGCAGCCTTCAGCCCGCCTACCGAGAGGCATAACGAGCCACGCTCCCCCGCAGGCAAAGCACGCCTGAACCACTGCCACAGATTTCCGCCAACACCGACGCCAGCCAACAGTATGGACGGACAAGGCCATCCGCCGACTCCCGCCCCGACGTCCGACACCGCATGGATGTACTGTGCGGTTGACGAGCTCCTACAGGCACTCCAAGGCGCCGGGCCAAGCCCGCCGCGTCCCAGCGACAGCCTCGCCGGCCCCCTTCCGACCACGGGCCCTACCCGTCGACGCCACCATCGACGCCGACAACGGGGAGGGACGACCGCCGGCAACCACGCCGGGCCCCGTCGGCCCTCTACAGGGGGATGCCACCCCTGGTACCCCCTGTTCGCCGGCCTCATCGGGCCACGTCGGGCCCCTCTGGAAGTCGTCCTCCGTGACGATGACGAGGAGGAGGCCCACCAAAGCGACGACGCTGGACTCCAGCCAGCACCCTTAAGGGGCATGCCACCCCAGGCACCCCTGCGCGCCGGCCACATAGGGCCGCAAGCACCCTCTCCGGAAGTTGCCTTACGCGACGGCAATGACGAGGAGGAGGTGCCACCAGATCACCGCTTCGGACCCCTGCGGGTCGATCTGACGCCGCCCCAACGACGCGAGGTTCCATCCAGAACCCCGCAACCGACGCCGAAGACGCCTGGAACCGGGCCGTCTCCCTGTCGGACGATTGGGTCAACTTCGACCGCCTGGTAGAGGACACCCTGGGCGACCTCGTCGACAGTCCACCGCACGCGGAGCCGCCGGCAACAGGCTCTCTCGGCCCTCTAGGCGCGAGATACGACCCTGTCTCCGATGACGAAGGCAACGACGACAGCACCCCCCGGCATTACGATCCAACCGCCGATGGTGACGACGACAGCGATGCGACGGTGATCTACGACCCCACCGCGGAGGACAGCCGTGATATCCGCAGAAGACGCCGTCCACGGCCGGTCCCGAGCGACAACCGGGCCCCGCCGTACATGGGCGAAGTAGAAGCCGCCCTGATGGAATGCTTCGGGGAGATACCAGTGGACGTGTTCGACTGGGAAGCGGCACCAACACCGCGTCAACCATCTCGGCCGACGAGGACGAGGCCAGCCGGGATGGCCGCCAGTCAGACGCCTCGCGACCACCTTCCACCGGACCCGCCGATGACGCATCGGCATCGACAATCTCGGCCGACGAGGACGAGACTAGCCAGGACAGTGGTTGGTCCAACGCCCCGCGATCGCCGCCCCCACGCTGGACTCCACCCAGCACCACGCCGCTACAAAGCTGGGCCCCAGCCACTACCGGTCGCAGCCGATCCCCTCCGCCCTCCTACGAGGAAATATTTGGCCTGGGACCATACCCTGGTCCTCACGCTACCGCCCGATGCGCCGCGGTGACCGCCAGTCGCGATCCTCGACCCCGCCTGCCCACCATTGCGGAGCTGGCCGCAGAAGAGGCGCGCCGAAGAGCGGAGGACCTCAGCGAGGAGCTCGGCAACCCACCGGTTGCCCAACCGCCGACGAATGGCCCACCACCATCACCGACCCCACGCCGCCGAGCACGGCGCAGGAGCGCACCATGGGCAGACAGCCCACCCAGCTCGTCCGACGAGTCATCATTGGACGCCGACGAGGGAGCCCTCGACCCTCCCCGCTGGGTACCGGCCCCAGTGGAGTGGACCACGCCCAACGGCACATTGCCAGCCGCCTTGCTCCGCCGGATTCACGGGCGCCTGGCGACGCCAAGACGACGGACCATCCGGATTCTGGAGGAGGAGGCGAATCAACGCTTCCGCGTCCAGATCAACCGCAGCGGGAAGGTGATCATCACTCTCCACCCCTCCCGAAGATAGGGTGGAGTGTGACGATGTCACAATCCCCTATTTTTGTAAATTATGTACATATTAGTTAAGTTTATAGTCAAGTTAGTAATTAGTATAGGGAAATAAGTTAAAATTAGCCACACACCCACGCCCACACACTCACACACACAACTGTACATTTAAGCGGGCATGAAGCCCAAAGTTAATTTGCCCAGGAAGGGCCAAATTAGATGACAACGCACAGGCGTATACATTTTGCCAACACGGACTGTAGCGACCGCGCTGAAGACATTTCCCCTCTCCGCTGCCGACGCGAACAGCGGCAGAGGCAGCGACATTTCCCCTTCGACGATCGTGCGTGTTTACGTTTTGGTCGTGCTTATTTACATGCCGATCAAAACATAAACAATAAGGCTACAAACATAGTGCACGCTGAGACGAAGCTGAAAATTAAGACGAAGCTGAAGACGAATTGCTTGCGATGCGAGTAAGCTAATAGGTTGCATAGTGGAAGACGAATTTGTTGCGATTTTGTGATGTTAGTCGCTATGGATTTCTCATCAACATCCAATTCCTTTGAAATATCATTCCAATTCTGGTCCACAATATGCCTATTGTAGTATAGTTTATTCTGCTGGTCCCATAAACATTGTTTTTTAAAAACGGCTGCAATTAATTCTTCATTTATTATAGACATTTATACAAAACATGTGCTTCAGGAAAATCGTAAGTCACAAGTAAATTGCAGTGTTGCCAAATGAAAATTTGGCTCTCCCCCTATCTCAAAAAGTTGAAATTTTCCCCCTAAAAATTCCAGTTTTTCCCCCTAAAATGTAAAAAAAAAGAAGAAGAACAACTCAAAATAGCAAGCGATTCGTCTTTAAAAACAGTACTGCTCCGTTTGAAGCTGATCGCTTGCGTTTCGTCTTCATCTTCGTCTTCGTCTCAGCGCGCACTATGTTTGCGGGCGAGCGAATTCATATGAATTGTTCTGCACTGTTTTTCGTCTTCAGCTTCGTCTTCATTTTCAGCTTCGTCTCAGCGCGCACTATGTTTGTAGCCTAACAATAACAAAGCCGACGGCCGAAAGCTGCGCTGCCCGGACATTTTCGGCAGAGACGAGGCGACAAGGGCTTTGCAAGCTGCGACCGCGATCACTTCTCCGACAACTGCGAACGTGAACGATTGAACTTAGTCCCCGCGACTCGAAATTACCCAAACCGACGGCTAAGTACAAAAGGACCCGCGTGTGTTAACTTACATCCTGGCTGCCGGGCACGTGTCCCAGCCGACTGATAACATCAGGTGAGCCGGCCGAGTGCCATGTGAGGGCAGATCCTTGGAGTGTGGCGTAGGGCCAGGCAGGGCATTGTAGCCGTAGCCAAAGTTAGAAATAATTGTACCAAATAGTTAAGCAATAAAGAATGAAGATCAAAGTCATATCTCTTTCTCTCTCACACCGAACTCCGCGTAGTAACCGTCAACCCTTATTCTGACGCGTGCCAAAGTGTTCCTCCCGCTCACTCACTCGCCGAGCTGGTGGCCTGGTTATCCCGCACCAACTCCGCGTGGTCGCTGGGCAAGCTCCGGGCCGGAGAAGCGGGACGGGAGCGGGATTTGTCGCCGCTGGGTTCTCCCGGGCGCAGATCTGGCGTGGGCATCGGGGCTGCTGGGTTTTCCCGAGCTACGAGTTCACCGCCGCCGGCACGTGCTCACAGATTTTCCCCTCTCCCCTCTCCCTTTTCCCTTTCGATCTGCATTTTGCCCGCCATCGCCGCTGGGTCATCCCGGGCGGCGGAGATTTGCCGATCGAAAGAGTCGCCGCTGCTGGGCAACCGGGCGAGCGCAGGAAAACGGAGGAGCACCTGGCCATCGCCAGGGTGACCACGTGTTTTAGGTTTCCTCTTCCCCTCTCCCTTTCCCTTCCGATCTGCATTTTGCCCGCCATCGCCGCTGGGTCATCCCGGGCGGCGGAGATTTGCCGATCGAAAGAGTCGCCGCTGCTGGGCAACCGAGCGGGCGCAGGAAAACGGAGGAGCACCTGGCCATCGCCAGGGTGACCGTCAAAGATTCCCATTTTCCCGAAGCCAGAGTTCCCCTTTTTGAAAACGAGCCCCTTTTTTCGCTGCCATTTCGCCCCTAGAAAACTCATTAAAATTCGGCGTCCATGTCCTGACCGTCTCTAAAAAATATAAATATTTCTGGAGAGGAATCCTGGGCCGCTGAGGTTTACCCCGGCCTAAGACACATCCTTACAATATAAACCCCATGCAGTATCCAATAAAATCAGTACGAAAAGAACTCTTTCCGTATTCACTTCTTCGCAGCCCAATTCAATTCTTCCTTCAAAGTGAACGGACGTGTTTTTTCTTGCGCTCCCGATTTGTGTAGAATTTGTCTAAAACCTCCGGGGTTTACTAACATTTAATATTTGGTGTTTCAAATAATTCCCGTTCACTTCGCGTGTGCATGCTAATTGTTTATTTTGTGCTATTTAATTAAATTTAAATTGCATTTTAGTTTGGGCTTCTGCGGTTGCTTTGCATTTTGCTCTTTTTGCATTCCCTTTTGTGCCTTTAGCGTTTGTTGTTGTTTGCGTTGCCGCGACAGCTATAAACGGTTCTACTCAGCGCTTATCTCTCGCTCTCCTGCTCATTGCCCCCCGCTCATCAATTGCCGCTGCATTTAATCCCTTGCGCCCTCTCTTAAATAGTGGAAGTACAGTGGTAAGTCCTTATAATGTCCCATAATATGGTCTGCTTCGCCAAAAACTGTAAGAAAAATATTACTTACGGTGAACTCACCATCACCTGTTTGCTGTGTGACAACATAGTACATGCCAAGTGCATTGGCGTTGTTGCACGGACAGTAGATGACGTGGCCAAAAATATCGGCGTACGTTACTGCTTTGAGGCCTGCCGCGAGGTGGAGAGGGAAATGATGTCTTTTATGCGGCAAACCAGGGGTGGTTTTAAAGAGCTATTATTGAGTTTTCGCAAAACTCAAGATATGCTCTTGGCGCTGGATACTCAATTTAATAGCCTCAAGCTGTTAAATGAGTCTCCCTAGGCGCAAAAAAACCGCAACTGGTGGGCAGCATACTGGCGGATCCCAGTCACCAGTGATAGGCACTGCACAGCAGCCTCCCTCGACTCTGTCCCCGACCCCGGGACAAATTCCAAGAATCCTGAGATCGAGCGCTAAAAAGATTCGGTATCCGAATGCGTCGCGGGTGCGACCGTGCCCCCGTGTTGCCCAGTTCCGTTTTGTCCACTGGGGGGTCCCAACTCTTGTCTCAGACCTCTCAGAGCCCTAATCCCAGTGGAAAAATTTAAATTTTCTTACCGTAGGAACATTTCGTCTTCCAAGATAAATGTTCCTGACGAAGCTTTGGCACTCTATGCTCTGCCGAAACCTGGGCACAGTATGTGGTTGTCAAAGAGTTTTAAAGGTACGAAAAAAGAAAAAGCGGCCTGTAGGAATTACTCTTCCTAGGCCAGATTTGCCCAATGCTCCGTCTACGTCTTCCAATTCCGTCCCAAAAAAATAACCAATTCCCTTTGTATTTCATATCAGAATGCAAGAGGCTTACGCAGTAAGCTTCCTAAATTGTATTCCGACAGCGTCGCATTTGCTTCCCAAGTTATTGTGTTCACAGAAACCTGGTTAAAGCCGGAGATTCTGAGCTCCGAAGTTTTTCCAGCTGCGTTCACAGTATACCGGCTAGATCGGCCTATCAGACGTGGGGGAGGTGTCCTTATAGCGGTCGACTCCACTCTCACGTCCGAATTAATAATTTTCGAGGAATCCAACAATGTTGAATTCCTTTGCGTGAAGCTATCAGTTAATGGTAGTTCGATTTTTGTTACATGTTCCTACATTCCTCCATTGTCGGAACTTCCTATTTATTGGAACCATCTTTCCGCTATACAGTTGGTCTCCAAAAGACTTTCGGATAGGGACCATTTAGTAGTTCTTGGTGATTTTAACATCCCAGGGGGCTATTTGGTCCCTAGATAATTCCACAAACACACTTCTTACGACAACACATCATGATTTTATTGCTGGCTTGTTTGACATTTCGCTGTCCCAAGTCAATCATGTTCGAAATTCCTTAGAGCGCTTGCTTGATCTTTTTTTTGTCTCAGATCCGGAAAGAGTTAGTTTAGCTAGGGTGGCGCCCCTGACGCAACCCGAAGATCCCCTATCATCCCACTTTCGATGTGACTATCGACATGGGGACTGTTTCACGGAATAAATCTGACAGTCCAGCCCAAGAAGTCTTCTGCTTTAGCAAGACTGATTTCGTACGGCTGAATAATTTCATAATTAATTACAACTGGTCCGATCTATACACATGCACTGACATGGCGGAAGCCGTGGGTATTTTTATCGTGTTATGAATTCATTTTTAATTGACTGTGTTCCGTTATACTGTCCGTCTACATCAAACAAGCCTCCTTGGTTTACCAAAGAGTTGACCCGCCTCAAAAATAGAAAATCAAATCTATATGCTAAATATCAACGTACCGGTTCTCCGATTGTCCTATCTAGTTATTTATCAGCTCGATCCACTTTTACTGTGTGATAACGCGCAGTGCTACAATAACTATTTGACTCGTTGCAGGTCCCAGTTTTCTGAGGACCCAAAACAGTTTTATAATTTTGTTAAATCAAAGCGTAAATCCATTACTCGTCCGTCCTCGCTCTCTCTTTTGGTAATTCAACAGCAGATAATGATCAGGCAATAGCCGATCTTTTTGCTCAGTTTTTTGAAACCACTTACTCCAACTCAATAGACCCAAATCAGGCTTATCCTTACATCATCCCCAAATCGAACCAAATCTTCAGTCCTACCATTAACGAAAGCTCTCTTCTTAGGGATCTTCATCTTGTTAAGCCTGTTTTTCTATCAGGTCCCGACGGAATACCAGGCTGTGTGCTTAGGAATTGTGCCGAAGCCCTGTGCAATCCACTTCTCAAATTGTTTACCTTATCCTTAGAAACCTCCCACTTTCCCCTTATTTGGAAGAAATCATTCGTTATTCCTCTCCACAAAAAAGGTAGCAAATTGGATGCCAACAATTACAGAGGTATCTCTAAGTTGTCGGCCATCCCTAAACTGTTCGAAAATGTTATTACTCCTCATTTGCAGCACCTGTGTAGGTCAATTATTTCTCCATGTCAACATGGTTTTATTAGGCGAAGATCAATTACAACGAATCTGTTGGAGCTTACTTCCTTTATTATAAAGGGATACCGAAATAACTTTCAGACAGATGTAATCTATACTAATTTTAGTAAAGCCTTTGACTCTGTTAACCATTCCCTTCTTGTTCGGAAACTCGATTTAATGGGATTCCCGACTGATCTTCTTAATTGGATCTCAGGTTATCTAAATGGCAGGACGCAGAAGGTCCTTTTCGAAAATAAACGATCTAATGTTCTTAGGGTTACATCTGGCGTCCCGCAAGGAGTCATTTGGGACCCCTACTGTTTACGTTATTTATCAATGATCTGCCCGAAGTTTTGACCAACTCCAGAGTACTTATGTATGCTGATGACGTCAAGCTTTGTGTGCAATATAACGATGCTACTTGCCAATCAGACTTACAGACAGATCTTAACAATTTTCAAACATGATGCTGCATGAACTTATTAAACTTAAACGGCTCTAAGTGCAAGCTAATGACATTCTCCCGTGTCACTCCTAAGCCTGCAACTTATACGCTAAACGGCTGCTCTTTGGAAAAATTAATATAGTTGATGATTTAGGTGTCCGTCTGGATCCTAAACTTGACTATATCGATCATATTGTGTGCATGGTGAATAAAGCCAGGGGTGTGCTTGGTTTCATTAAACGGTGGTCGAAGGAATTCAATGACCCCTATGTTACAAAAACGTTATATACTTCACTTGTTCGTCCTATTTTAGAATATGGATCCTGCGTTTGGAGCCCTCAGTATGGCGTCCATAGTAAACGCATAGAATCGGTTCAAAAGAACTTCTTACTTTTCGCTTTACGCGGTTTAAACTGGGATGCAAACCAGAGGTTACCGTCTTATTCTAGTAGACTCTTACTAAATAACTTACCCTCCTTATCTGATCGTAGAACCATGCTAGGTATTACATTTTTACACAACTTAATCCGTGGTGACGTGGAAAGTACTGACTTGCTCGGTCAGCTAAATTTTCACGTACCAATAAGAAACACCAGATCCTTTTTACCATTAGTTTTGCCCCACTGTAGAACATCCTTTGAACTGCATGAACCCTTTAGAGTCCCTCTGTGCAAATTATAACGATTTGTACACAATAATATCTAACGTTGATAGCCTCCCAAAACTAAAAACTTCAATCCTAACCCACTTACGCATGCAAGCAACCAATCCGGCAGTACGCCAGTAGTAGTCTCCCCGCATCCTTTTTTTTTAAGTCCTTCGCGTTTACTAATTGCTAACAAGAACAAGCACGTGCTTGGTGTCGCAAGTTCCACTTGACATGTACTGTACATAGTGCATCAACGTCTTGCAATTGGTATTGTACTTATTGCGGCGACCATTGCCACTGGTACTGAACCTGAGGCACGCAACTAAAAACTATTTCAGCATTAGGATTTATCCTGAATCCGCACATTTGGTGACCCCCCGACTACGAACCGCACTCTGTTCGAAAAGTTGATTTAAAGTTCTTTTAAATCAATTAAAGAAATCACGATAGTGATTATTGGGTCAACATTTGGTGACCCCCGACTTGGAAACGCACTTGTTTTCGAAACTTGATTTAAATTAATTTAAATCAACTGCAGAAATCACGATAGTGATTATTGGGTCAACATTTGGTGACCCCCGACTTCGAACCGCATTTTGTTCGACAGTTGATTAAAAAAAAAAAAAAATTTTTTTCAAGTCAACTGAAGCAATCACGTTAGTGATTAATTGGTCAAAAAGGCGACCAATCAGTATTTAAACAGAAGTTCACTTGGCGAACTCTGGTGCTAACTGCTATCAACTCGGCAGTCAAAAAAAAAAAAAGAAGCAATAAAGGTCAACAAGGCGACCTGAGATAACTCAAAGCACAGATTTGGTCAACTCGGCGAACCAATCTGCAATTTATACGTGATTACGATACTTTTACTGATATTAATAAACCACGGTGTGAGTCGAGGCACATCAATAACAAAATACCTCTTAAGGTTTATTTAATAAAGTAAAATGGCATCGTCAAATATCACCACGTTATTGGATGAACAGCAGGCGCTGGGCGAGCGCATTCAATCTCTGATAAGGAACTTCAAGAAGGATTCCGACAGCAGGAAAACCAAACCTGCATACTACACGGAGCGGTTGGCAAATCTGGAGGGACTCTGGACAAATTTTGCCAGCAGAGATGCCAAAATACGAGCCATTTTAAAAGGAGAATCAAGCAGCCATCATTATTTTATAAATAATTATTTTATCGAAATAAAAAATTTAGTAATTGAATACCAAAATATATTCAACACTAATTTCGCAGCATTAAAAACTGAGCCAGAGTCAATTGCATCTACGGAAGAGGATCTAGAAATTGAGTCCATGTTTCGCGAGCAAAGGGCGCTGATCGACAGCTTGGAGCGCGTCATGAGCAATGTAACGCTCGACACATGCCAACATTTTGAGGCAATTATTTTTGAATATTGGAATGAAATTAAAAACATTCATGTCCAAATACACAAAAAATTTCAAAATCCTAAGGAATTGGGATATGACGATTCCCGATATTTAATGGCCGAAGATGCCATTGTGTCCTTCAAGTGACATTTGGAGGAGTAATGAAAGCTGCGACGGTAGCCAGTTCCCCTACGGCGGCTGCATTACCGTTGCCAAAGGTAACAATTCCCAAATTTGATGGAAATTACCTACAATGGCAACAATTTCATGACTTATTCAAGAAAATGATTCATTAATCAACAATACCCACAATTCAAAAAAATGTGGTATTTAAAAACTAATTTAATTGGAGAGGCGGAACGTTTAATTCGTCACTTGTCGCTTACAGAAAGCAATTATGCGATAGCCTGGAAAATGTTGCAAGAACGGTATAGCAACAAAAGAGTGCTATGCAACACTCTTATCCAAAAATTGTTAGATGTCGCACCCATATCTAATGATTAAAAAGGAATAAAGGCACCGCATGATAATATAAAAGAAACATTATCTGCATTAAATAATATTGAAATTAAAACGGATAATTGGGATCCAATCCTTTTACACTTATTAACAAAGAAATTGGATCGCCAAACACACTTGCTGTATGAGCAGTCAATTCCAGATACAACGAATTTACAATCAATACAGGAATTTTAGAGCAAAGATTTCTCACGCTGGAGGCAATATCCGGTGAGAAAATCAAAAGCCGAGCACGTGTGCTGCAGGAGCAGAAGCACAATTTAATTGCTTCTTTTGCAAAAAGCCAAATCATAGCATTTTTAAATGTAATGATTTTTTAAAAAGACTCCAGCAGAGCGACTTAGCTGGACGCAAGAGAACAAATTATGTGTTAAATGTCTGAGTGCAAATCATACCTCCAAAACATGCACAAGGAGGAATTGCTTTACATGCAACAAAATACATAATACACTACTGCACCCTAAAAAAGGTTGCTGACAACCAAGAGACCATTACTGCAGCATCAGTAAATGGCAGACAAGAAAGCTACGTCCTCCTAGCCACGGCAAGAGTCATCGTCGTAGGCAACAATGGACAAATGGCTGAATTCAGAGCACTATTAGACTCTGGATCCCAGATAAATGCAATTTCTGACAGAGCAATTCAGAAATTGTCATTGAAAACCACGAACTCTCTGCTTAAAATAAACGGCATAGGTGGAAAGGCACACGTCAAGCTCCAGAGTCAATGTAGAGATAAAGTCAAAATATGGAAACTTTGTCCCAAGACTGGAAGCGATGGTAATGCCTCACATTGTTGCTGATCAGCCGACATATCCAATCTCGACGGAAAATTCCGAACATCACGTTGTCTGACCCTAATTTCGGAAGTCCAGGAAAAATGTCTATTTTTCCTTTGCTGATTGGAGCAGAGCATTATTTTGAAATAATGCTATCAGAAAACCTACACCTTCACAAGGGACTACCGCGACTACAAAATACCAAGCTTGGCTGGATTGTAGCTGGAAAAATATCAAATGAAAAAAGAACATCGTCCTTTTGTGCAGTTCTCACGGAGCAGAGCAACTAGAGAAGTTCTGGGAGCTTGACAACTTTCAACCCGAAAAGAAGTGTTATTCACCAGTTGAAAGGCAATGTGAAGCCCACTTCCTAGAAAATATTCAGCGAGCACAAGACTCAAGATTCATCGTCCAGTTACCATTTCTGGAGCATACATCAGCCCTGGGGGAGAGTCGTGACATTGACACGCGACGATTCCTATCCCTAGAAAAAGGTTGCAGAGAGATCATGTGTTCAAAGAAGGCTATATAAACTTCATGAAGGAATATGAAGAGCTTGGACACATGAAAGAAGTTCCTTTGGTAAATTTACCAAGGGCACACTATTTCATCCCACATCATTGTGTGTTGAAACCAGAGAGTCACACAACAAAATTACGTGTGGTTTTCGACGCATCAGCAGTGACATCCTCTGGAAAGTCATTAAATGATTTGTTGCACAAAGGCCCAACAGTGCAAAATTCATTAATGTCGATATTACTACGCTTTAGAATACACAAATATGTATTCACTGCCGACATTGAGAAAATGTACAGGCAAATTTGGATTAATCCAAAGGATCAACACTATCAAAGCTGTCGGGGGCCGTGGCAAGTACAAGTCCAGAAAATTCCCAATAAAAGCTGGCAGAGTTCGATATGCTGATGAGGAGGACAAACGATCCGTCTTCTTTGGAATTTATTTTCATAGTAGTAAAAAAAGAGAGCCGTACACCCAACATGGCGACAGGTACATTTTGTTCCCAGAGATGCTCCCCTGGCGACATTGCCCCTTGTTCAGCTTGAACATTCTCCCCCCCCGCGCAAGAGGAATGCTTGCGATCTACGAGAGGGAGCATCGTCCGGAAAGGATCCATCCCAGCGTCGTATTTTGTGCCATCGGCAAGCCGTCCCTGACCCGGGAGGATACCCGGCAGCATCAGGTCAGCGTAAACGTCCGCTCCCAGCACAACCGACACTAGCGATGGGTGGAACCACCGGTCATCCGCCAATGTGACATTCTGAAACATGTCCTGCACCTTCGGGTCCAGCGGTTGCCCCGGCGTTCGTGTCTGCATCTGCTCGTCCACTAGCATCAGAAGCTGCTTGCTCATCTTGGAGGCCTTGGAGCGCATCTCGGTGGTGCACACCCGTTGGTCGCCAATGCCCGTGATGGCCAGATTAAGGGCTTTAACCAGGGAGATGTGGATGCGACTCACAGGACAGCACGGATCCACCAGGGCTCGGACATCAAACCGCTTTTGGTCGGATCCGATTAGCACGGACGCGGTCGGGAGGATGCTAACACTTGTGCGCGCCAGGATAGGCGTGCACGACCGGCTGCGGGATGGAGACATATCCATTGGCGTGGCGGGCCGCCGAGATCCGGATACAGGCGCCTGATGGCGCTGCTGTGATTGACGCTGAGGCCGAGAATCCGAGGGTGGGTTGCGCCTTTGTCGGGGTCGCGAAGAGCGAGGCTGCCCAGTGTGGATGTGTAGCAGCGTGTGATGAGCCTCATTGCATATATGACACCTCGCTGTACTGCGGCACGACCGACCGGAATGCTCGTGTGCCAGACAGTTTGCGCAGTACTTGTTAATGAGTACCGCGCGGAGCCGCTTCACAGCCGGCAGTTGGAGAAACCGTTGGCAAACCCTCAGAGCGTGGACTCCCCTGCAGACTCGACATCTGTATACATTGCTCCCGGATGAGCGACGAGGATTTTGGTGGGTCGTTGGAGCCATTGTGTACACGGATCTAAATTAAAAAAAGAGATGGATAAATATGAAAATGAAGTGTTATGGATGAGGATGAACAAGACACGTGGACGGAACGACGACGTTGGATGACACAACTTAGGACTAGTACATGTCAATTGGAAGGACTACTCTATTGAGGAGTCACTATGGTCAATGGGGCCGTCCATTGGGAGGCGAATCATTTTCGCCACTGGCCGTCGGATGACGCCCCGTGCTGTAAGCACGTCTGCAACTCTGACCTTGCCGTCGGCGCCCGGACATACCAACTGGATACGCCCAAGCCGCCATTCGTTGGCTGGCAAGCTCTCCTCCTTGATCACAACCATGTCTCCCGCTTGGAGATCTCGTGATGGGAACTTCCATTTGTTCCTTTTGTGGAGCTCCTTCAGATATTCCTCCTTCCAACGCACACAGAACTGCTGATGCAGGGCCTTCAACCTCCGCCACCGATTGATGATGGAAATAGGATTTTCCTCAATCAGAGGCTCCGATACCGCAAGAAGTGGTCCACCAATTAGAAAATGTCCGGGGCTAAGAGCCACAAGGTCAGTGGGATCTTCGGACATTGGTGAAATAGGCCTGGAGTTTAAACAGGCCTCAATTTTCGCAAGGAGGGTAGCCAGTTCTTCGAAGGTGTACTTCCCTGCTGCTGTGTACTTGTAGAAGTGAGCCTTGAAACTTTTCACACCCGCCTCCCAGAGCCCTCCCATGTGAGGCGCGCCAGGAGGGTTGAAATGCCAGGCCAAGTTCTGAAGGCTGTGTTTGGAGAGGATCAGTGTTCTGGTTGACTCCATAAAGTCTCTGGATAAGGACGTGGAGGCTCCGACAAACGTTTTCCCGTTGTCAGAGTAGACATGTTGTGGACACCCACGGCGAGCAGAAAAACGAGAGAAGGCAGCTAAAAATTTCTCTGTCGTCAAGTCGGACGTCGCTTCGAGATGGATGGCCCTGGTACTAAAGCAAACAAAAACGCAGACGTACCCCTTTGTGATTTTGCAGGCTCGACCGACATAACTCTTGATGTCAAATGGCCCCGCGAAATCCATGCCTGTATGAGTGAATGGCCTGGAGAAAGAGGATCTCGCCCGGGGCAAATCCCCCATCAACTGCCTCTGCAGGTTCTTCTTGTGGATGACACAAACTCGGCACGAGTGGATTGTGTGTTTCACCAACCTCTGAAGCTTAGGAATCCAGAATTTAGACCGAATCAGTCTCACCATTAACTGATTCCCCCCATGCAAGGATATGCGATGGGTAAACAGGGCTTGTAGTTTCGCGAACCTACATCGCGCTGGGATGATGATAGGATGTTTTTCATCATAACTGAGCATGTCAGATGCTTGTAAACGGCCGCTTGCTCTCAAGACCCCCTTTCTGTCAAGAAAGGGGTTTAGGTTAGAAATTGTACTTGAGGATGGAATTTGCTGCTTGTTACTTAAAGCCTTATATTCGACGGGAAACTCGTTCTTTTGAGTGAACACGATTAATCGCTCTTGCACGTCGGACAACTCCGCCGAAGTGAGTGCTGACGATGGGGGTATGTCTTCCTTTTTGCAACTTTTCGCAAAACGGATCACGTATGCTAGAACCCGCAGCGCCCTGTCGAAGGTTGAAAAACGCTCTAGGATATCCACTGCTGGCGGCACTGTGGCACTGTGACATTTGATAGGCCGTTGCTCCATCTCGGTTTCCGGATTAACCAGTGGTTCACTCGGCCACTGCTCCTGCTTGAGTGGCAGCCAAGCCGGCCCGTGCCACCAAAGTGTGCTGTCCTTAAGCTCTTGGGGCGAGACGCCTCGGCTTGCCAGATCAGCTGGATTGTCTTCGGATCGTACATGGCCCCATTTGCTTTCGTTGGTGCGCTGTTCGATCTTTGCGACCCTGTTGGCCACGAATGTCGTCCAGGTGCATGCTGGCTTGCCTAGCCATGCAAGAACTATAGTAGAGTCTGTCCAATAAAAAATCTCATAAGCTTTAGGAGGCAATTCGGAAATTACTGATGCTGCTAGCTCAGTGAGCAGCACTGCTCCGCACAACTCCAGGCGGGGTATGGAGATGGACCTGACGGGAGCGACTCTGGTCTTGGATGCCAGCAAATGGGCACAACAGCCGTCAGCCGTTTCGACTCGGACGAAAATAGCAGCCCCATACGCGTCCTGTGACGCATCGCAAAACGCATGGTACTGCACCTTGGCAGCAGGATGGAAACGCACCCACCTCGGAATACGAATTTCCCTCAGGGTCGGATACCCTTTCAAAAACTCTTGCCACTTGGTCACAAGGTCGGTGGGGAGTGGCTGATCCCAGCCTAGCTCCCGTAGCCAAATTTCCTGCATGAAAATCTTGGCTCGGATTACGAAAGGCGATAACCACCCTGCCGGGTCGAACAGTTTGGCTATTTGAGACAAAACCTCTCGTTTGGTGTAGGCAGGTTGCAGGGAGATCACCATTGGAACAAAAAAGAAACTATCGGATGTAGCTTGCCAACGGATCCCAAGAGTTTTCGCCGTGCTGGCATCTTCCAGCTCAAGGAAGTCTGCACTGACCAAATGTTCCCTCGGAATCGCTTGTAGGAGTCTCCTTTCGTTTGAGGTCCACTTGCGCAGTGGAAAACCGGCACTCTCGAGAGCCAGCCGAAGCTCTTTAATGGCTAAAACTGCCGACTGCTGAGTGTGAGCCCCTGCGAGCACATCGTCCACGTACATGAAGTTCGAAATGATGTCGCTGGCCAAAGGATATTGGCCTCGGATGTCCTGAGCCAACTGCTGAAGCACTCTGATGGCCAGGAAGGGCGCACAATTTACGCCGAAGGTGACTGTGTCGAGTTCATAGTCACAGAGCTCACCGTATTTGTTGCGGAATAAGATTCTCTGAAAGCGCGTGTGATCAGGATTGACCCGGATTTGCCGATACATCTTTGTGATGTCCGCATTAAAAACATACTTAAAGAAACGCCATTTTAGAATCTGAATAGTCAGATCGGACTGTAGTACAGGCCCCGCATGAAGGATATCATTGAGGCTGTTCCCGTTTGATGAGGGATTGGAAGCGTTGAACACGACGCGAACCTTCGTCGTGGTGCTATCTGGTTTGAAGACAGCGTGATGAGGCAGATAAAAACTGCTAGAGTCGTCAGGGGAGACTTGGTGCATATGACCTAAGTCTAAGTACTCTCGAATGACTGAGTCGTACTGCTCCTTCAATGGAAGATCTTTACTTAATCGCATTTCGTTTCGGAGGTACTGAGCTAGTGCGATGGGTCTGGAATGTCCAAGCTTAATATTGTCCGGCTCTTTAAAGGGCAACGAAACAACATATCTTCCATCCTCACTTCTTTTGGTGGATCGGATAAAGTTCTCCTCGCAAACCGAGGTGGATTCCTTAACCAGCTTCACTGGAACATCCTCCACCTCCCAAAATTTTGTGAGGATGCTGTCTAGTTTGGATTCCTTGACTGCTAATCGGGCTGAAAAGGAGCAGACTCTGCTTGTGGGACTCGCTGCAATCGGACCGCAAAGAATCCACCCGAATATGGTCTCTTGACCCAGGAGTGTTCCACAAATATTGGAATGGGAGCCGCTTAGGAGGATCGATGGCAGGATATCGGCACCAATAAGCACGTCAATCTGCGAGCTTCGGAAGAAATTTGGATCTGCTAGTTGCAACGGTGGAAGATCCTTTAATGAGGCCTCTGGTAGAGTGTAGGATGGGAGATTACCAGCTAACTGGGGTAACACGTATGCACAAGTTTCAATCTGGATATGGGGCTTGACGGAAGAACCTATGATGAGTTGACACCTCTTACGAGGCTGAGCGGCAACGGAAAGGTTGACCCCCGAAACTTGGGCCTGAATGGACTCATACGGCAACTTAATTAGGTTGAACAACCGTTCTGAGATGAAGGTTGCCTCGGAACCTGAGTCAATGAGTGCCCGTGCTGAGTATTTTATGCCCAAATGGCAAACTTCTATCAATGCCGTACTCAGTAGGACCCCTTGCGTGTTAACGGCAAGAAACGTTTGCACATTCGCTTGACTCGTCGATGGAGTGGACTGTATCTGTTGCTGGGTTGCTGTGGATGGATGGGACTGTTGGTCAGGCATAACCACTGAATGGACTGGCAGAGGGGTGCTTCGATGCAGGAGAGTATTGTGACGTCCATTGCAGGTGTAGCAATTATGCGTACTGTTGCAATCCCGGAGCAGATGCGTTCTTGCGAAACAGTTTAAGCACAACTTCTGCTGTTTTACATGTTTCTCTCGATCTGCGACTGACATGCGTAAGAATAGAGGACATAATCGGACTGGATGGTTCTCCTGTGCGCAGAGTTTGCAGGATTGCGGGTTTACCGTAACTCTGTTTTCGAAGGTCTGGATCGACCGCGAGCTATTGTCAGCCCTCAGTGCCCTGGATTGAACGCTCGCGTTTGGCTTGAACTCCTCAATCGCCTCAAGCGTTCGATGACGATCTTTTAAGAAAGCCTGGAATTCAGCCCAAAGTGGAATCTCTGACTTATTTAGCAGGGACTGTTCCCAAAGAGCCAAAGTTAGTTTTGGCAACTTGGACGAGCACAGGAAAACAAGCAGGCAATCCCAATTCGTGGTCTCGACTCTTGCTAATTGCAGGGCCGTTAAACAACCTTGGATTGTGCTCTCTAAATGCTTCAAGGATTTTCCGCATTCCTGGGCAACAGAAGGCAAATTAAACAAGATCTTTAATTGGCTATTGACCAGCAGCCTCTTGTTCTCGAACCGATTCTGCAAGTTTCTCCACGCTGACTCAAAACCATCATTGGTCAACGGAGATAAGGCCACAATGGATTTGGCCTCGCCGCTCGTCTTTGCATTGAGATGGAACAGTTTTTCGACTTCTGAAAGCCGAGGATTGCGTACATAGATGGCGGAGAAAAGGTCCCGAAATGTGGGCCATTGAACATAGTCACCATTGAAAACTTCGCACTCAACTGGAGGTAGGCGACATCCGCCCTGAGACGGCATCAGATTGGAGGACTGAACAGACTGTGGCGCGCGTGAATTTTCAATGATCTCATTGAGGTTTGCTGCGCACCGCTCGTAAACGGTATAACAGTAGTCATACTTGGATTGCATGACTGTTATTGTGTCTTTGCAGTTTTGACTGGCCAGCACTTCGGAGCACGTCTCGTACTCCCTTTCCACCTTGTCCCAAAGAGCCCTGATCTGCTCGAGTCGAACCCTACTCGTGTGGATGGACGGACCTTGGTCAGTCGGGGTGTTGAATCTGGCTTCGAACTGACCCATCCTATCGGTTATGGTCGTGAATTTCACCAAAGCCTTGTCTCCCTCAGCTTGAGCCCTTTTTCAGTTGCTCTAGTGACCTGGGAAGACACGACTGATTTCGCGGCCCTTGTGGATGGTGCAGGCGGTAGAACTTCGAGCGACGTGCTCGTAGATTTACGTGGAGTGGTGGTTGCTAATGGGCTTTTGCTTCGAGAGGGATTTTCGTTTTCGGAAGGCACAGAGGATTCACTCGTTGCCCTGCCTCTGGAAGACGCCTCCGCTGTAGAAACGGTCAGACGGGGTTTTGGTTCCTCACCGTCGCCGTTTTCCATGTTAAACTCTTGTTGGGGCCGCTGGATAAGCGCAGGAAAACAGAGTTAATCGAAAAAAATTATATTTATCGATTTGGAATAAGTGCAGGGACGCTGGATAAGCGTAAATAAACAAATAATACTCGAAAAGGATGTTATCGATTTTTAAATGAAAACAGGGACGCTGGATAAGCGCAGGAAAACAGAGTTAGTCGAAAAAATTATATTTATCGATTTGGAATAAGTGCAGGGACGCTGGATAAGCGTAAATAAACAAATAATACTCGAAAAGGATGTTATCGATTTTAAATCAAAACAGGGACGCTGGATAAGCGCAGGAAAACAGAGTTAATCGAAAAATTATATTATATTTATCGATTTGGAATAAGTGCAGGGACGCTGGATAAGCGTAAATAAACAGATTAATACCCGAAAAGGATGTTATCGATTTTAATTAGTACGGGGACGCTGGATGAAGCGTTCAAAATTTATGATTATCGATTTTAAATCAATACAGGGACGCTGGATAACGCGTTGGCACGTATGCACTCGATTCGAAAGATATGGGGGCGCTGGATAACGCGTAGAACAAATTAATCGAAAGAAATGCTATCGATACTCAATTAATACGGGGACGCTGGATGACGCGTTGGCACGGATGAACTCAGTTCAAAAGATATGGGGGCGCTGGATAACGCGTTGGCACGGATGTACTCGGTTTGAAAGATATGGGGGCGCTGAATAACGCGTAGAACAGATTAATCGAAAAAATGCTCTCGATTTCCACTTGATACGGGGACGCTGGATAACGCGTTGACTGAATTAATCGAAAAAAGTTGCTAGAAATTTCAAATCAATGCGAGGACGCTGGATAAAGCGTTTAAAATTATGGTTATCGATTTGGAATACATACCGGGCGCTGGATGAAGCGTTTTAAAATTATGGTTATCGATTCGGGAAAGTGTGTACGTTGGATAACGCGTAGAAGAAATCAGTCGACAAAAAAAAAAACTGCTGTCGATTTCAATTTAATACGGGAACGCTGGATGACGCGTTGACAAGGATGTACTCAACTCAAATTAATATGGGGGCGCTGGATAACGCGAAAAACAAAATTAATCGAAAAAGAATGCTATCGATTTCAAAGGAATTAAAAAAAATAAAAAAAGTCGAAAAAGGGTTTTATCGATTTGGGTATGAACCGAGGAGAAAAAAAAATATGTAGAATGAATTATTCGGAGACAAATAAATGTTTGTCGAAAAATACTGTGGGGATGGAAGTGAAGACAAAAGGATTAATCGAAAATGTATGCTTATCGCCTTTTTAGATATACTTGGACGCTGGATAATGCGTACCAAAAATAATCGGAACGGTGTACACGATTCGAAAAAAAAATTAGGTTGTAAATTAGTTGAATTGAAACTCAAAAACCCAAAAAAAAATCACCCCAGTGTGAACGGCTCATTAACAGACTCAGCCGCGTATGGTAATAGTGTCGCAACCTTGGCGGCCAGTACCTACATACATATGTATGTATTTACGCAAAATAAACAAACAAAAAAAAACTATTAAAAACGCAGATTTTAATTTTGTTTGTTTCACTTGGTTTTGTGTTTGAATGCAGCGACACTGATAGCTGCCGATGCTCAATTGCCGGTCCAGCAATTTATATGGATATGTGCATATACATATGTATGTATGCACGTATGATCGGCCAGCTGGAGGAGGGGGTTATCTTTATTTATCTTTTTGTTTTGTTGTTAATGTGCAGTGGACGGAAAATATGTATATTTGTGGTGGATGGAATATGTATGATCTTTATTTATTTCTCTTCTAAATGCCGCCGATTTGTGAACCAAAGGTAATGTACAGATGTATGTTCATAAATCGGCAATGTTCGTACATACCTATGTGCGTATGCAAATTGTGCAAGTATGTACGTACATAACTACTACGGAATCGGTGTGGATGTATGGTTTTTTTTGTATGGACTGAGTCTGATGAGACTCATCGGTGTGGATGTATGGTTTTTATGTATGGAAAAACTGGATGTAAACCTTTTTGGATATTGGCTGATTTAGAACATAGGAGAGGGGCATATAGCCATGTAAACACATGCATATATATACATATACTACTGCCCAAGTTGGTAGTGTTTTAAATAAATTGGATGCAGCAGTTTATCTACATATATATGCATGTATGTACATACATATATGATGGGAATTTCGGCACCGTACTTATCTTGGCAAAAAGGCGCTGGAATATCTCGGGCGAAGGACCAAAAAATGAAGCTGTCGGGGGCCGTGGCAAGTACAAGTCCAGAAAATTCCCAATAAAAGCTGGCAGAGTTCGATATGCTGATGAGGAGGACAAACGATCCGTCTTCTTTGGAATTTATTTTCATAGTAAAAACAAAAATAAAATGGGGTATTTTTTTTTTTCCTTAATGTTTTTCTCCCTTTTTTTTCTTTTGTTCTTTTTGAAAATTATTAAATTTAGGGTTTGGTGTTTTAGGGGTGGTTAAAGGTAAAGGGAAAGGGGTCTCTGTAAAAGTTTTTTCTTTTTTTTTGGCCAATTTTCCTAATTTTGTTTTCCTTGGAAAATAGCGCCCCAACAATAAAGGACAAAGTTGTAGCAGCAAAAATTACGACGATTCAGGAAGCATCGTTACAAAAGAATCAGAACAGAACGCCGCGGATGTTGCATCAAGAGGAATATGTGTTTCTTTTTTCGAAATTCACAGTTTTTGTTTTTTGGGCCACTCTTTCTGTATGGACCAGCGTCGAAATGGCCAGATCCGTTTATTGCATCTAAAATTGAGCGCATGGCAAACAAAAAACTGCAAAAAAATTCTTTAGGTGCAGTTAAAGAAGATAGCAGTCTAATATACAATATTTTTTTTTTCTGTTTTTTTTCGATGTTTCTTTTTTTTTTTGCGTTGGACAATTATTCCACTAGTTTCAGAAAAAATAAAAAAGGTTGAATAAATTTAGAAGGAATTTAATTTTTTTTTTTCAGCTTCTCCCAGCATTTTTTTTTCGGTTTTTAAAATTTTTTAAATTTTTGCGTTGTCTAAAAGAGAGGAGCACCATCCCTTTTCCCCCCTTTTTTTTTTTATAGGACCTTTTCCTCCTTGGTGGAAGGTTGGAAGGAGCGGCATTATCATATTATGCTAAGCACCCCATACTGCTTCCATTCCATGACCCAATTGTCAATATATGCAATAATATGCACTGTGGAGCCCAAGCATTAGTGGCCACTTCACGACAAAGATATTGGGCCATAAAGGCAAAAACAATTGCCCGAAATGTTGTACTCAGCTGTGTAAAATGTACCAGAGCTAAACCAAAATTGATGGAACAAATCATGGGACATTTACCACCATTAAGAGTAACGCAAGCAAGGCCGTTCCTTAATGCCGGCGTTGATTATTGTGGACCCTTTAAAATCCACTATAAAATTCGTGGAAAGAAACCACATACAGCATAGCATACATTGCCATATTTTACTGCTGCAGTCCATCTGGAGCTAGTAAGCGATCTTACAACGGAGGCATTCTTGGGAGCACTGCACTTTATAAGTCGACGTGGAAAATGTCAAACGCTGCACTGCGGTAATGCAACCAATTTTGTTGGAGCTAGGAATAAGCTTCAAGAGCTGGAAGATGCCATCTTTTCGGAGACAGCCAGAAAGGCTATTATTGAGAGTTGCTCTAACAAAGGAGTCAACTTTAAATTTATCCCGCCAAGAGCACCTCATTTTGGAGGATTATGGGAAGCTGCTGTAAAATTAGCTAAGCATTTGCTGCTGAAAAATGTCACCACAGCGAATCTGACATATGGAGAGTTGGAAACAGTCATAGTCGAGATTGAAGCAATCTTAAACTCTCGGCCTCTAGTTCCAATGTCATCGGATCCAAATGACTTGACTGCAATTACTCCCGGTCATTTTCTTATTGGAGAACCACTAACCGCTCAACCTTCCCAGCAACCACAGTCATTGGGACAAAGATGGCAAGCTGTATCCAAACTAAAGCATGCCTTTTGGAGTCAATGGTCAACCGACTATCTTCAACAATTGCAACAAAGGCAAAAATGGAGGCGATCATCAGCAAACATAAAGGAAGGAGCTTTGGTGTTGACCAAAGAAGACAACACACCAGTACTCCAATGCCAATGGGACGAGTTGTCAAGATATTTCATGGAAAGGACAATTTTGTCAGAGTAGTGGAGGTAAAAACCGCAAAAGGATACTTCAAGCGTGATATCCAGCATATAGCACCCCTATTTCCTGAAGAAGAACCTGTTCACAAACACCCCGTATCCGAAGAATCTGACGACAACAGCATCAAAGAGGAAGAAGACATCAACCATGGCTACTCTCGCAACTCAACCGTTTACAGTCAACATTGATGATTGTTGAACATCCGTTCAACGGGCGGGAGAATGTACAATTTCGTCAAGAAGATAATTGCTCGCAGCTGCCACCAGCCATCTATTGATAAGACTGCATCTGGACGCTGCCCATTTACCCAAATAAACTCGGGAAACTCGCGACACCCGGGTCACGCAGGTCCGCGCACACATGTGTGATTACGGGCCATAAACAGAGTCCCGCGATCGGTCACGTTCTTCACACCAATTGCATGCAGACGTCGCAGGAATTAGTTATCTAAGTAGTTCCCATGGCTGTATCCAGCTGTTTATGTTTTTATAGGATAAACCCATGTAACCCAAAGGTAGACCTAAGTAAATACCCTTTGACCCGAAAACATGTATATAAACCCCATGCAGTATCCAATAAAATTAGTACGAAAAGAACTCTTTGCGTATTCACTTCTCCGCAGCCCAATTGGTATTGTACTTATTGCGGCGACCATTGCCACTGGTACTGAACCTGAGGCACGCAACTAAAAACTATTTCAGCATTAGGATTTATCCTGAATCCGCACAGCGGGAAATGTGCGAATATCTATTCAGATAACGGAACTAATTTTGTAAGAGCTGCAAGAAAATTAGATCAAGACTTATTTAATGCAATACAAGAAAATAAAGCGATTGCAGCGCAGTTGGAGAAGGATAGGTCATTCCTCGGGGCTCAAGGATGGCCAGGGTTCGTCTCAGAAAAGATGCCGACCCGGTCCCAGAGTAGAACGCCGAGAAATATGCCGTAACTATAATTATCTGTTTATTGCCTCGAACATTACAAGTGTTAAAAAGATTGGATTTAGTCTGCTGCCGTGGGTAGTCGCTCTGGAACGCCGCACTTCAGGGTCAGGTACATCCTTCCCGCTCGGGTCGACGGTGTCGGTGAAGCGCCGATGCGCGGATGCCCCTCAGATCTTCTAGAGTGAGTGGAGGCCTTCAGGTCTATCCGTTAGTGGAATAACTGGTTAGCGGAGACCCTCAGACCTTCCAGTTAGCGAGCAGATTTGTGGAGTCCCTAAGGTCTTCCAATCTGTAGAAGTGTGTAGAGGCCCTAAGGTCTTCTAAGATTGAGAGTTTGGGGGAGGCCCTAAGGTCTTCCAAGTTCAAGAAGTTTGGGGGAGGCCTTAAGGTCTTCTAAGATGAGAAGTTTGTAGAGGCCCTAAGGTCTTCTAAGATGCGAAGTTTGTAGAGGCCCTAAGGTCTTCTAAGTTTGTAGAGGCCCTAAGGTCTTCTAAGTTTGTAGAGGCCCTAAGGTCCTCTAAGTTTGTAGAGGCCCTAAGATCTTCTAAGTTTGAGAAGTGGTTAGAGGCCCTAAGGTCTTCTAAAAGAGAGAAGTTTTTAGAGGCCCTAAGGTCTTCTAAGTTTGAGACGTGCACGGAGGCCCTAAGGTCTACCGAGATATATAGAGACTTATAGGGAGGCCCTTAGGTCTTCCAATATTGAGACGTACAGAGAGGCCCTAAGGTCTTCCACAAGTTATAGACGTAAGGTATGGTCGGGGTCCGACTATTAGTTACCACTTTACCTGTATACCTTACTTAACCGTGCTCCTTGGGTGACTCCTGGCTGCTGGCTTCCCCTTAGCTCCTGTTAGAGGACTTGGCCGATCGCTGGCTGAAAACTGAATGCCTCCCAAGGGCTGGAGCTCGCCTTATTTAGGGCTCCGGTGCGGCCGAGTGTGACCGACGCGCCCGGAGAAATTTGACATTAAGAGTGTGGCCAGATCCTCATTTGGGCCAGTGTGACCCTTTGCGCCTGATCATGGCGCGCGCGCATTTAATTCAAATCTATTCCATATATTCATAGTTTCCTATTGTATAATCCATTATCATCCTTATTTTATATTTTATATATATCTTTGTGCGCGTCTGCGCGTCACACTCCCCCCTCGCTTCGGAGGCGGTGTGATACCGCACCGTAATCATTTTCCTCTGTCGAATACGCTTCTCCAGGATCCGGTGGTGCCCTCCGATTGTACCATCTGCCGTTGTATTTTCCATTTTTCTCTCGGTTGTTCTTCTTGAGCAAGTCCCGCGTCGATTAGTGCTACCGATGAACTTGTCCGTTGCCATTTCCTCTTGACACTTTCCGTTGTCTGCATCGCCGTGACATCGTTGCCTGGGGTTGCTCGTTGCAGTTTTGCCCCTGCCTCTACTTCTGCCATCATCTGCTCCTTCCTGTCTTGCCCTTCCTGCTCCACTCCGTAACTTTCCTGCTCTCGCCGTCTTTTTCGCTCCAGTTCCTCTGCCCACATCGCAACCTCCTTTGATTGGTCCATGATTCCCGTGTCCATACCGTCTTGATCGACCTCCCTTTCGGCTTCCTCTGGTTGTTCTGTGTCTCCTTGCCCATCGGTTGACCGCATATACAACTCGCTCTTTCGAATTCCGAGTGTGTTATACGGGTCTTGTATCTCCTGGCCTATCTGCTCTGGTCCAATCGTTGCAGTTCCACAGCACTCCTTATATCCCTCGCTGATCTCCGGGGTGAGTCTTTGCTGTGCCTGGTCGAAAACCGATTCCGATTCTATTATCTCGACTATTTCCGCCAGTTTGAGGAATTCGAGAAGTGTCTTAAATTCCGATCTTCTCGTATACAACTTTATCTCGCTTTTACAATTTACGTAGATACGGTCCAATTTTTCCTCCTCTGTCAAATCTGCAATTCTCATCATTTGCCTTAAGCTCATTGCGTATTCCCTCGCCGACTCCCACTCTTCTTGCTTACGCTGCGCAATTTTTTCCCTCAATTGCTCCTTGTACCTTCGTGGTAAGAAGTAATCAACTAGCTCTGATGTCAGCTTTGCCCAACTGTCTTTTTGACAGGGAAGCAGATCCACCAGTCGATTGCTGCGTCTTCCAAAATGAATGGCATCGTTTGCACCAATTGATCGTGCTGGATGCCGTATCCCGTCGCCCAATCCTCCATTTTCTTAATAAACTCCAGTGGATTAGTCATCCCA